CTTCATGTCACATTGTCTTGTGAGGCTGACATCCCCACTTTCCAGCTGAGGAAACTGAGGTACAGAAAGCTGAGGTTCCGAATGAGCCAGGGACCGGTCTGCTGTGTCCTTCCCATGGCCCCCAGGGCTCTGCTTGCTGGTCTCCAGCCTCAGCTTCTTTCTGGCACTTCCCTCGCCGCTGCCCCTTCCCCCTCCCCATAAGCCATAGAGACTGAGCTCAGGCTCCAAGGTCACTCAGCTTGGCCTGGGAGGAGCTCAGACTTGAACCCAGGCCCCTTGGCTCCTGGCCTCCCTCCCTCTCTGGCCAGCGGGCTGGGCCTGTTCCCTGGGTGAGTCATGCCCCTGGACTTTGGCCTCCTTGTCAGGCTCTGTGGCCTGAATTTGGAGAGGGGGCCTTCATAAGGACCGGGGGCTCCCCGCGGCAGTGCAGGTCTGAAGCTGTGGTCACACACCCTCTCAGTCCTGGGGCCTGAGGGCATGGTGACCGCACCCCCCCGGTCCGCCTCCCTGCCACCCATCTCTGAGAAGTCATAGGAACAGCTCCGCGGGCCCCAACAAGAGCTCTCTCCGCCGCTCCTTTTGCCCCCTCCCTAGATAAGGACTACACTCAGTTAGAAATGGGGCAGGGGTGGCAGCGTGGGGAGGTGGCCTTTCCAGGTTGTGTGCGTGCCCGTGCCCTGGGCAGCTTGCTTCCCAGCACTCGTCTGCCCCAGCACCAGGCAGCCAGAGTTACCCAGGAGGGAGGCCCCAGCGCCTCCCCTCCTGGTGTCCAGGGACCAAGGTCAGGCCCAGAGCCCTGTGCGCCTCCACCTCCTCCTGGGGCCAGTGGTGTTTGTCGCTGGGGCAACATGCGGCTGTGCCCGGCTCTGGCAGCGCGGGGGTGACATTCATGCCCTGTGAGCTGTGACGCCGCTGCAGGCAGAGGACAGCACCACCCAGGCTGGCGACAGTGATGGGGGGGCCGGGGGGTTGTCACCTGTCTGAAGCAGTCAGTGGGGTGATGTGTCGTGTGCCCATCTGGTAGTCTGAAGGGAGGGCTCCCGGGGAAGGGGTGAGGTGGCATCCCTGACTCATTTGGGTGGGGGGGGTTCTGTCCCTTCCTCACACCTGGAAGGTGAGGCTTGTCTGGGTGTGTGTGAGAGAGAGAGAGAGAGAGAGAGAGACAGGTTCTCCGCATTTCACATCCGCTGGTGGGTGTGGGAGTGCCCAGCTGCGTGTTCGTTACACCACGGTGGGGGTGACCATGTGTGTGCCTGGCTCCTGTTGTCTGGGGGTATCAGATGTGCCCATCTCACGCTTTTGGGGAAGTGACAGGTTATGTACTTAGCTCATCCTGTTAGGAGGGTAGTCACCACCCCATACGCCTGTCTCTGACTGTTGGGGATGTGTGAGATGTCACCACGTGCCCATCTCATGCTGTTGTGGGGAGTGACATGTGTGATTATCTCATGCTGTTGGGAGGTTGTCAGTAACTTGGGAGCTTGTCTCTCACCCTAAAGAGACAACATGTTGCCCAGTGGTGTGGGGCCCAGAGTTGGCGGGCCCTTCCCGTGTAGACCATAGGGCCCAAAAGGGCTGGACAGGGGAAGCATTCAGAGCCCTGAGTGCAGGGACAAGTGTGGTGGGTTTGGCGGGGTGGGTCTGAGTCCCTCCCCCCATGACCTTCCTTCTGATCCAGGTGCCAACCCTTGGGACTGTTTCCCAGAAGGAAGGACCCAGTGTTTTTCAGGCAATGTGGCAAGGGGCCTCTGGGGCAGGAGCAGGTGTGACTGGGGAGGTGGGGCACCAGGCAGGGTTGGCATGGGGGTCTGCGTCCCGGCAAGCGTGGGGGGACCCCAGTCCCTGCCTCTTCTGCCCCTGAAACTGTTAAACTAATTAAGGCTGTGGAGCTGCAGGATTAATCGGGGCAGCTCAGCGCGGGCCGGGAGCTCAGGTAGTCGATTAGTGCGCCGCGGAGGATATTGGATTTCTGAGCCGCAAGTCAGCACTATTCGGCCTGTTATCTCGCCGAGGCTCGAGGCTCGAGGGTCAGGAGGCGGGAGGCTCCGGGCGCGCTGGCCGCCCCCGCCCGGCCAGCTCGCGGCGTCAACTCCCCCTGCCCACACGCCGCCGTGGCCATCTCAGTGCCCTCACCCAGCCCGTCTCCCGGGTGCCCCCTGCGCCTCGCCCCTGTCACCCTCCCGCCCCTCCGGCGGTGCTGCTCTCCCCTCTCGGGCCCTCCTGGTCTCACTCGCACTCTGAGCCTCTGACCATCCTCTCCACCTGCATCTCCACCTCCCTGTCCCCCCACCCGCCCCCGTGAGCCCCTCCCCATCACCAGGCTCTGCCTCTGTGCTTTTGTGTTCTTGCATGCCTGTCTCACAGTTTCTGTCACTGCCTATCTCTGTCTCTCGTGTCTCTCTGTCTCACTTTCTCTCCCTCTGTGTGTCTCTGTGTCTTTTCCTCTCCCTCTGGGTTTCAACCTCTCTCTCTCTCTCTCTCTCTCCCCCTCCCTCGCCCTCTCTTTCTCTCTCTCTCTCTCTTGTGTGGTCTCGGCTGGTGTCTGCAACCAGAACAAATCTCCCCCAGCCAACACCCCCTGAACAAGGAGGCCAGAGCAGCTAATGGGAAACATGTGATTCTGCCTTGCGCCTGGAGCACCGTGAAGGGAGCCTCAGTCCCAGCTCAGCCCCCCCCTTGTGCCCCCCTCTGCTGCATTCCCCCCACCACACCGCCCCCACTCCCAGCATCTCCCCCAGCCTATGTGGGTGCCCCCAGTTATTCCCATTTCGGGGTGGTGGGGTGCTGGTGTTTTATCAGTTGGGGAGTATCAGGTTGTGGAGGGGCTGGGAGCAGCTTTCCTCCTGAGGTCCATCCAGCCCGCAGGGCCAGGCAGACCCCATGCAGACTTCCCCCCCCACCCCCACCACCACCACCATATGTAGGAGAACAGGGCCAAGATGAGCTGAGCTCTGGGGGCCTGGATGGGGGGCAGCCAGTCCACCCCCACTGGAGGGCTCTGGGGCCACCCAGATTCCTATCTTTTCCACCCTCTTGGGCCTCTGGGGAGCTGCAGAGGTGGGGGCTCCCTGAGGGCTTGGGAGCTGCCGGGCTGCATTTCTGTGCCCACCCAACCACGGGGAAAGGGGGGATGGATCAGAGGAGGGAGGCTCTGGCAGGTTGGAATTCTCCTTCTCTGCCTGTGGATAAATTGTCCCTAATCCAGGCTTGGGGAGTTGTCTGGCTCCTACAGAGAGAGAGAGAGAGAGAGCACGCAGGAGATAGGGAGGGAGGAGGGAAGCAGGCACACAAACACGGTGACACAGACACACTGTTTCACAAAGGGTCTCTTGCATGCAGTGCACACGCACGCGCGCGCACGGCCTGAGGAGTTACACAAAGGTACCGCACGAACACGGAGGCTCGGCTGTGCTGCCGGGCACACTGGGGCACATGGACCCTCTCACACATGTTGACACTGACACGTAGTGCTTTTGGCACAGACACAGTGATGTGGCCCAAGGACCCACTGACACGCAGGCCCCCAGTGACGAGGGTATACAGACTCACACATGGGCACGCTGACCCCCAGCGAAACCGACCCACGGGAACGCCGGGACCAGTCACACTGTCAGCCGTGACCCTGCCAACCCAGAAAAAGGCAGGAGGTAGGAAGGAGGGAACACTGATCCACAGTGACACCAGTGCCCGCAGTCACAGACCTCGAGATGGGAAGCCTGCAGGGACAGTGGAGGATCGGCCGCGCGCCCGCACCCTAGCCCCCCCTCCCCGCCCCGGGCATCCAGGGCGCTCGGAGACAGGCAGAAGCCCGTCGAGCTCCTGACACAGCGAGATGCAGGGAGCCAGGCAGAGCGTGTGCACGCACACAGGCCCACGCCTACCCCAGCCGTAGCTGGGGTCAGGGCGCTTCCAGAAGGGCAGACACACGCTTCCGTGTCCTCGCAGGCGTGCAAGCAAGGCTCAGCTGGGCACACACACAAAGCTGAACAGATGCAGATAAACACACCCACACGTATAACTGAGGATACTGAACCCAGGTACACATCAGTCCCTCTCTGTCTCCCTCTCCCTCCCTCCCTCCCTCTCTCTCTCTCTCTCACACACACACACACACACACACACACACACACACACCCCACTAACCACGTACACCGTAACTGAGCAAACGTAGGGTCCCATGCATGTACATTCTTAGACACACATGTACACACGCGGATTTAGAAATGTGCGGAAGACTGAATAGACCCAGGAGCCCACATACAGGTGTATTTACCCAGACAGCAGAATGCTCACAAGCGTGTGTTTACACAGGCGCAATCTCTACCACACATAAAAATTCCCAGGCAACCAGAACCCACGAGCAGTCCATGAGGCCTGGTTCCCAGACCCCCTCTGGGCTCCAGTACAGACCTCAGGGAGGCAGACAAATGGGCAGGAAGCAGGAGGGTGGTGAGAAGGGCCATGGTTATTAAAGAAAACGAGACATAACCAGTTGCTGGTGGAGAAGAGTAAGGGCCAGCTGCACATACACCCCGCATGGAAATCTGCATTCCCCGTGTCTTTTAACAGCGGTTCTCACACCTGCATTCTAAATAAGCTGTTAGCATATATAGTCTACCCAAAGCATTCCTTCCCCATTCATAAGATCTCCCCATTTTACAGATGAGAAAACTGAGAGCCAGAGAGGTTAACTGACTTACCCAAGATCCTGCAGTGAGGGTTGAGCCAAGGACTGTCTGGCTCCCAAAGGTCAGGTTCTTTTCCACCATAGCATGCGTGTTCCTGTTCATGCATGTGTGTACCTACATGTACAAAGATACTGCTTCCCAACAGGAACCTGGGGTGTCAACAGAGAGGCTCGCAGTTCCCCAGTGAGATGAGGTTGTAGGTGATTTCCTTGTATTCGAAAGTAGACCCCATCCAGGCTAGCCTCCTGGTCCCTTTATCTGGCTCATCCTGTGTCCATGCTTATGCCTGGGATGTTGTGTTTGCTTCCACAGATGGGAGCTTGCCTACCTGTCTACCCATCGGCCTGGACCCCAGAGCCTGCCCAGCTAAGTGCGTGCAGAGGGCCCCGGTTTCGGGGCAACTCTCAGGCGGCCGCAGAGACCACCCTAGAATCCCTGGCAAAGACAGGCCTTTCCTGCTGAGCCAGACCTTGTCTACACAGCCTGCTCAGGTAACAATGTACGGGGAAGCCAGGTCTGTGCCTGGGCCACCCCTAGAAAGTGGGGATCAGGGGGACTTACTTCCCAGTCTTAGCAGGAATCCCCCCTCCCAGCTTAGGCCAAAGAGAGGCACTTTATAGAATCAAAATATATTAACCCAACTTACCCAAAACTCCCCACTATCCAGAAAGGGGAACTGAGGCCCATGGATTACACAGCAAGTCCCCCGGAGTCCTGCCTCCTAGCCTGGGGACCCTTCCCGGCACCTTGTTGACCTGAGAGAGCTGGGAAGTGAAAGGGGTTGTGACAGTGAGCAGAACTCAGGGCAGAGGTGGAAACCGAGTACTTGATGTTTGCCGCTGACATGCACACACCGCCCCCCAGGACCCCTGTCTGCTGGGGTCTGTGGAAGCAGAGAGCTGGGAGGCCAAGGTGAGATGCCGCGAGGACCTGGGTAGTTCAGGTAGGCCAGGTCACCCTCATCAGATGAGGTGGGGTGGGGGCAGGACCTGCCTCCCTACTCCTGGCCCCAATTAGCCCACCCAGGCTCTAGAGCCACGGAGGCCAGGTGGGGCTGCCCTGCCCTGCAGAGGCAACTCCCTGAACTGACACACGGAGCCTGCGGGCTCCAGGAAGCTCCCTAGAGCCCTGCCTGCCTGGGGACTCCACCCAGCTTCCAAAAGAGCATTCCTGGGGCCTGAGGTCTAGGGGTGGGGCCTCCTGAGATGGTAAGGGTGGGAGGTGTGGCTGTGGGAGGATGCAGGGCTCTGTGTACCCAGCTGCAAATGCACAGGGCATCGTGTGTGCAAGCCCTCAGGCTTGTGTGCAAACCGGTGTGTGTAGGGCTCTGTCTTTAGGGACACAGGGTTCTGTATGCAGGAGTTACATAAGTGCCCTGGGCCGGGGGACCTTTGAGGGCTGTGTAGGTACTAGAGGGGAGTGGTGAGTGTGCAGGATTCAGAGTGTGTCCTGGGTAGGTGTGGGAATCCTGGAGTGTGGTGGGGGCCACACCGGATGGTGCATGCGTGCAGGGCTCTAGTGCCCAAGGGAGAGATGTATAACCAGGAATCTGAACGCACTGGGCCGATGTGTGGGCACACTGGGACGGTGTGGAATGTGCATGCAGGATCTCTCCGCATGTCACCGGGGAAGCTGGCGCTCAGGGTTCTGGGTGCACGCTTGCGGGTGGTGCGTGCATGTGGCTCCGTTTGTGCTTTGGAGGTGGGCTGGGCAGGCCTTCAGCTGAGCAGGGCTCAGCAGTGCCCAGCCTTGTGGCCAAATCGCTGAAGTCACTTCCTTTCCAGCAGCAACTTTCCAGGAGGAGGAGTTCTTCAGACCTGGGCGGGAGGGGGGGCGCGGAACGAGGAGCTCTCAGGGGAAGGAGGTGGGCGGGGGTGAGAGGCTGTGGGGAGGGCCTGGTGGGGCTGGAGGAGGGGAGTCCTCCGGGAGACAGAAGGAAAGACTAGGACAGGAGTCTGGAAGGGCCAAGGGCAGGAGGGGATGGGGGTGGAGCAGGGCGGGAAGCACAGTCCCTGGGTGACCTCGGAGGGAGGAAGGGAGGGCCGCCAGGCAGGGTGACCCTCAGGTTCAGCCAGAGCTGGCCGTGGTGCCCGCAACACCTGGCACCCAGGGCAGGGGGCTGGCAGGGGGCGGGTCTAGGGAAGACCTGCTTGCCAGGTGCCCCGCTCTGGGCAGGAAGGGGGTGGGCGAGGGCTGCACAAAGGAGCTCTGTGTGGCTGGGGGTAGGGTGGGGTGGGGTGTGCTATACTGTTGGTGCGGGGGGCGGGGGGGGGGTGCTGATGACTCCTGGAGGCCAGGCGGGACTTGCTTCCCCTTGGGGGCATCGGTGGCTCTAAGGGGACACCTAGTGGCGAGGGAGGGTAGTGCGTTTGGATGACTGAGGTGGGAGGGGATGAAGAACCTGGGAGGGGGTAGATTAGAAGTCAAAAATTAGAACTGGTGATGAGGATTGGGACTGTTGGAGGAGGCTGCAGGGGAGGGAGCTGACTCTTTGGACAGTGAAGAAGTTTGCACGGGAGGAGCTCAACAAACCTAAATTCAGACTCCAGCTCTTCAGTGTCCTGGCTGTTTGTCCTCAAGCGCATCACTTAACCTCTCTGTGCTTCTATTTAAATGCCAAATAAGTGACAGCTGCTGTTATTATTTTCATTTTCATCATTGTCCTTTTTGGTAGGATTTTGGGCTGGAGTCCGGTTGGAAGAAGATCTTTGGGCACTAGTGGGTGGGTGGGACAGGACTGAAGGAGATTGAGAGGGGTGCTGCAGGGCCTGAGGGATAAAGGCCCCAAAGGGAGGTGATAGGGAAGGGTTCCCAGCAGTAGTAATAGCCCCCTTGATACACTGTTTTCCCTTTGAGGACATCCCTGGGCCTTCAGTCCGGGCTGGGAGGGAAATGGTGTGGGGGGAGGAGTGTGCAGGCTGGAGAGAGGGTCATGAGGCCGGAAGTGAGAGCTGGGGCTGGCAGCCTGGCTCCCCTGGGGAGGCTGGGGGTGGGGGAGGGGGAGGCGGGCTGGGGAAGGGGTGGGGTGGTCACAGCCGCTGCGGGGGAGGGTGGGGCTGGGGACTCAAGGATGTGGGCTGGCGCTTCCCGGCACTGTACACAGCAGGTTGGGGCCCCCAGCCCCCTCCCAGCCCGTGGGTGTCCCCATGGCAGGCTCAGACACACTGACCCAGAAGCAGCCTGTCAGACAGAAGGACCCCTTTGACTTTGTTCACAGACATGGGATAGGTGGTGCCCTTGGGAGGGGTCCAAGAAAATGGCCGCCTGGGTGTGGTGGGGAGGGCAGCCGGCTGCTTCCCTCAGATCCTGGAGGCCGCAAGAGAGAGCCGTGGACAGAGTCAGGAGGTCTGGCAGGAGGACATGCCCAAAGGTCTTCACGGGTGGGTGGAACAGAAGCAACCACCGGAGAGGAGGTTTTCCCTTCTGCCAAGATCACACCCTCGGGCCCCAAGGGGGAGGTCTCCAGAGCAGGGAGGCTTGGTGAGCCCCACCCTCAGGAAGGGAGGCATCTGAAAGACTCTGAGGAGCCAGGGGTCAACCATGCTGTTGGAAATGGGACTTGGAGATGCCACGGTGTGCGCCCCTTCCCTCCTTTGTGAGGTTGTTACCCACAGTCCTTCTTGCAAGAGCAACGGGCGAGAGAGCCTGGCCTGGGAGAGAGCAGGACCCTGCGTGACGGAGTGGGCAGGACAGTGAGGAGCAGCCGAGGCCTGGGAACCGCCGAGCAAAAAGGGACAGTGGACAGATGGTTGTTCTGTCTGGATAAGCAAGGGAAGGGCTCTCTCTCCCATGCCGTTTTGTGACCTGGGGCAAAGGCCCTTTCCCTCTTTTTATCTCAGTTTCCTCATCTGTAAAATGGGAAAAGCACAAGGTGGCACCAGAACAGGGTACCCATGGGGAAGCGGGTTAAAAATACAGATTCCCAGATGTCCCTTCAGATCTGTGAGTCAGACTCCCCTGGACGAGGGCCTGGGTATCTGGAATGTTACACAGCTCCCCCAGGCCCAGGGTTTGGAAGCCAAATGGCTTGGCGATTTTAAGGTTCCTCCCAGCGTTAATTTAGACCTCAGCTCTAGGAGCAGCGCTTTCAGGAGTGGCTGAAGGGAAGCTGCAGGAGCTGGGAGGGGAAGCAGGCTTTGGGCTTAGGGCAGAATTAGGAGTCCTGCCACTTTGCAGCTATGTGACTTCAGGCAAGTTCCACAACCACCACTCGGAGCCTGTTTCTTCTGTAGCACAGGGATAATCAGCCCTGCCTCCCGGGTTGCTGGGAAGATTCAGTGGGTCATATGTGTGGAAATGCTTTGGATGTTGCAAATCACTGCCCACCACGGGGGAGTGGAAGAGTGTTCCTTCCCACACCATCCTGTCCCCGAGTTGGCTCCGTGGTCTTCCTGTGGGGTGACAGCCCTGGGTGGTATGGTAGCTGGTGGGAGTCTACACGTGTCGGGGGTGGGGGATTGACCCTGGGGATCAGGTCAGAGCCAAACACTAAGGAGTGGTCGGGGTCAATCTTTAAGACCCTCCCCACGGTCTGGGCCCTGAGTCCCTTGGGAGTCACACATGCCTGGATTTAAATCCCAGCTCTGCCCTGACCAGCTCAGGGAGTTAGTAAATATTTATGTAGCATCCAAAGCCCAGGCCCTGGGGTCAGGGGATACAGCGGTAAACAAGACAGACACAGGGCCTGCCCATGAAGGGCCCACACTTGCGGGGGAGACTCACCGAAAAGCTAGTCATACAAGTAGTTGGTTGCAATCGTGATAGCTACTGTGAAGGGGAAGTAGAGAGGACTCAGAGAGCGCGCAGCAGGGGCCAGACCGTGGCCAGAGGTGCAATGGGGGGAGGGGGGTCAGAGAAGGCCTTGCTGATAAATGTGGGAGAGGGGTCAGAGAACATCCCTCTCCACATGCTTGTCTCGCACCCTCTCTCCACACCCTTCTTGGGTCCCACCTTTGGGTCTGGAGAGGAATGAGAGAGAACCACATGGGGAAAGGCAGGGCTGATTGCTCTGTGCACCTCGTTCATTCATTCATAAGAAATAGTAAATCTTTCTTGAAGCATGCTTGTGGGCCACGTGCTGATCAGGGTGTTGGGAGGTAAACACAGAAGCGGACAGACAGAAATTTGTGGTGCTCACCACCTTCCAGTGGCTGGTTTCCTCCTCTGTAAAGGTGGGGATGATAATCATACTGACCTCAGGTTTGCAGGGGGCTTAGATGAGATAATCCACATAAAGTGCTTATCAGCCCATTGTTTGGCAATAGAGAAAGTGTCCCCAAAGTGTGTGAGCTTTTATTGTTGTTGACTCCCTGGTATGATTGTCACACCTCTGACCTGAGGCACTCTTCACTTTTTCTTTACAGCTCTTATCCCACTAATAATTAAATCATTTATGATTATCTGATCACTGTTTGTCTACCCGGTCTTTGTGCAAAGTAGGCACTCCATAAGTAATGAGTGTATGAATGAATGATGTTACTTCATCTCTGAGCCTCCATTTCTTCATCTGCAAGACGGGGTTATTAATAGCCCCTACCTCACAGGATTTGTATGAAGAATTAAGTGAAACGATGCCTGGACAGCTTCCAGCCCAGTGCCTGGCGCGCAGTAGGTGCTCACTAAACCTGAGCTGCGATGGTCCTTTCCAGGCGCTGTCCACACCCCGAGGCCTGGGCTCAGGCCGAAGTTGCTCCACAGCTCCCCCAGCTGACAGCCAGCACCTGGCAGAGCCCCCAGGCACGGGGGCCCTCTCTCTCCCAGGTCAGCCGGGTGTGCGTACTGGAGCTGGGGGCGGTGTGTGGAGGAGACCGGGCCGGTGGGCAGTGAGTGGTTGGGCTGTGGCCACCTGACAATTCAGATCCGCTGTTGCCTGTCTTGTTGCCCACAGAGATCTCCAGTGTGACAGCCCAAGCGGCAGAGCCGAGGGTGAGTGGCCAGGCTTCTCCTGAAATGGGCCGGGGGAGGGGGGTGCAATAGGGAAAAGGTTACACCCTGGATAGGATTTCCTGGCCCTCTCCTTAAGTGTGATCTGGAGTGGTCGCGCCAGCCTGCTGCTGATGGCTTTCCCTTGCCAAGGCAGGCATCCTCTTCTCCCTGAGCCTGTAGCCAGGGTCTAGAAGTGGGTGAGCTGCTGACAAGTGGAACCAGGGCCCCTGAGGCGTTCCTGGTGCATGCGATGGTTCAGGAAAAGGCTGGGAGTCAACAGGGTGGGGGGGAGGGGGGGACGGAGCTTGAGGGGACTCCCAGGAGGGATGACGGGCTCACTGAGGAGGATGTGGGAAGCTGAGGTCTTGGACATTCGGTGAGGGCCCTCTCGCCCGTCCTGCCCCACAGGTCCTGGTCCCGGCTTCTCGCACCCTCATGTCCGCCCCGGCCCCGCCCGGCGGCCCGCGGAGGACAAGGTCAGGATGCGTGTGAAGCCCCAGGGCCTGGTGGTGACTTCCAGTGCCGTGTGCAGCTCTCCTGACTACCTCCGGGAGCCCAAGTACTACCCCGGCGGCCCCCCCACCCCACGGCCCTTGCTTCCCACCCGGCCCCCTGCCAGCCCACCTGACAAGGCCTTCGCCCACACCTTCTCTGAGAACCCACGCCCACCCCCACGCCGGGACCCCAGCACCCGGCGCCCACCAGTCCTTGCCAAGGGGGACGACCCGCTGCCCCCGAGGGCAGCCCGTCCCGTCTCACAGGCCCGCTGCCCCACCCCCGCGGGAGACGGCAACAGCTCCCAACGGCGCTGGGACAACGGGCGGGTGAAGCTGCGTCCCGTGGTGCGGCTGATTGACATCATGAAGGACCTGACACGGCTCTCCCAGGACCTGCAGCACAGCGGCGTGCACCTGGACTGCGGTGGCCTCAGACTCAGCCGCCCACCTGCCCCGCCCCCCGGTGACCTGCAGTATAGCTTCTTCTCCTCACCCAGCCTGGCCAACAGCATCCGCAGCCCCGAGGAGCGGGCTGCCCCCCACTCCAAGTCGGAGAGGCCCAGCCACCCCCTCTATGAGCCTGAGCCCGAGCCTAGGGACAGTCCCCAGCCTGGCCAAGGCCATAGTCCTGGGGCCACGGCCGCGGCCACCGGGCTGCCCCCGGAGCCTGAGCCAGACGGCCCTGATTACTCGGAACTTGCAGATGCCGACATCCTCAGCGAGCTGGCCTCCCTTACTTGCCCCGAGGCCCAGCTGCTGGAGGCCCAGGCCCTTGAGCCACCATCTCCTGAGCCAGAGCCTCAGCTCCTGGACCCCCAGCCCCGCTTCCTGGACCCACAGGCACTAGAGCCGCTCGGGGAAGCTTTGGAGTTGCCACCCCTGCAACCTCTTGCTGATCCTCTGGGGCTGCCAGGCCTGGCGTTACAGGCCCTGGATACCCTGCCCGACTCCCTGGAGTCGCAGCTGCTTGACCCTCAGGCACTCGACCCCCTGCCCAAGTTGCTTGACGTCCCTGGCCGCCGTCTGGAGCCCCAGCAGCCCCTGGGGCCCTGCCCACTGGGCGAGCCCTTGCGCCTGGACTTGTGTTCACCCCATGGCCCCCACGGGCCTGAGGGTCACCCCAAGTACGCCTTGCGGCGCACTGATAGGCCAAAGATCCTGTGTCGCCGGCGGAAAGCTGGACGGGGGCGCAAGGCAGACGCCGGGCCGGAGGGCCGCCTGCTGCCCCTGCCTATGCCCACAGGGCTGGTGGCCGCCTTGGCCGAGCCCCCGCCACCACCGCCTCCACCACCTCCTGCCCTGCCAGGCCCGGGCCTAGTCCCAGAGCTGGAGCCAGAATCTTCCCAGACTCCAGGGGTCCCCAGCCGCAAAGGCAAGTGCCGGGGCGTGCGGCGCATGGTGGTGAAAATGGCCAAAATCCCCGTATCGCTGGGACGGCGGAACAAGACCACGTACAAGGTGTCCTCCTTGAGCAGCAGTCTGAGCGTGGAGGGCAAGGAGCTGGGCCTGCGCGTGTCCGCGGAGCCCACGCCACTGCTGAAGATGAAGAACAACGGACGGAACGTGGTGGTGGTCTTCCCCCCCGGGGAGATGCCCATTATTCTTAAGCGGAAACGCGGCCGCCCTCCTAAGAACCTGCTGCTGGGTCCTGGCAAGCCCAAGGAGCCGGCAGTGGTCGCGGCCGAAGCAGCCACCGTGGCCGCGGCCACCATGGCCATGCCGGAGGTGAAGAAACGGCGGCGGCGGAAGCAGAAGCTGGCCTCCCCGCAGCCGTCGTATGCGGCAGACGCCAATGACAGTAAGGCCGAGTACTCCGACGTTCTGGCCAAGCTGGCCTTCCTGAATCGCCAGAGCCAGTGCTCTGGGCGCTGCTCGCCCCCCCGCTGCTGGACACCCAGCGAGCCCGAGTCGGTACACCAGGCACCCGACACCCAGAGCATCTCCCATTTCCTGCACCGGGTGCAGGGCTTCCGACGGCGTGGCGGTAAAGCAGGCGGTTTTGGTGGCCGGGGTGGGGGCCATGCCGCCAAGGCGGCCCGATGCTCCTTCAGTGACTTTTTCGAGGGCATTGGCAAGAAAAAGAAGGTGGTGGCAGTGGCAGCTGCTGGCGTCGGGGGCCCCAGCCTCACCGAGTTGGGGCACCCACGCAAGCGGGGCCGGGGGGAGGTGGACGCCATGACTGGGAAGCCCAAGCGCAAGAGGCGGTCCCGGAAGAATGGGACTCTGTTCCCAGAGCAGGTGCCTAGCGGCCCGGGCTTTGGGGAGGCCGGCGCCGAGTGGGCCGGGGACAAGGGCGGCGGCTGGGCCCCTCACCATGGGCACCCAGGCGGGCAAGCCGGCCGAAACTGTGGGTTCCAGGGGACCGAGGCCCAGGCCTTTGCCTCCACCGGGCTGGAGAGCGGGGCCTCGGGCCGCGGCAGCTACTACAGCGGTGGCGCCCCCGCAGGCCAGGCCGAGCTCAGCCAGGAGCGCCAAAACCTCTTCACCGGCTATTTTCGCTCACTGCTCGATTCGGATGACTCCTCCGACCTCTTAGACTTTGCCCTCTCAGCCTCTCGCCCGGAGTCCCGGAAGGCATCAGGCACCTACGCAGGGCCCCCCACCAGCACCCTGCCTGCCCAGCGGGGCCTGGCCACCTTCCCCAGCCGGGGGGCCAAGGCCAGCCCAGTGGCGGTGGGCAGCAGTGGGGCTGGTGCGGAGCCCTCCTTCCAGCCTGTCCTGCCCGCTCGCCAGACCTTCCCGCCGGGCCGGGCGGCGAGCTACGGGATCACTCCAGCCACTTCAGACTGCCGGGCAGCCGAGACCTTCCCGAAGCTGGCGCCCCCGCCGTCGGCCGTGGCCCGCTCCCCGACCGCCCACCCGCCCGCCAGCACCTACCCACCTCAGTACGGTGGCTACGGGGCCGGACAGAGCGTTTTTGCCGCAGCTAAGCCCTTCACGGGCCAGGACTGTGCTAACAGCAAGGACTGCAGCTTCGCCTATGGCAGTGGCAACAGCCTGCCTGCCTCCCCCAGCAGCGCCCACAGCGCCGGCTACGCCCCACCGCCTACGGGGGGCCCCTGCCTGCCACCCAGCAAGGCCTCGTTCTTCAACAGCTCTGAGGGGGCCCCCTTCTCTGGCTCAGCCCCCACGCCCCTGCGCTGTGACAGCCGGGCCAGCACCGTCTCTCCCGGCGGCTACATGGTACCCAAGGGCACCACGGCCTCTGCCGCCTCCTCCTCCTCCTCCTCCTTCCAGCCCTCGCCTGAAAACTGTCGGCAGTTCGCGGGGGCTTCTCAGTGGCCTTTCCGGCAGGGCTATGGAGGCCTGGACTGGGCCTCAGAGGCCTTCAGTCAGCTCTACAATCCCGGTTTCGACTGCCACGTCAGCGAGCCCAACGTGATCCTGGACATCTCCAACTACACGCCGCAGAAGGTGAAGCAGCAGACGGCTGTGTCCGAGACCTTCTCCGAGTCGTCGTCCGACAGCACCCAGTTCAATCAGCCGGTGGGCGGCGGCTTTCGGCGCGCCAACAGCGAGGCCTCGAGCAGCGAGGGCCAGTCAAGCCTGTCCAGCCTGGAGAAACTGATGATGGACTGGAACGAGGCATCCTCTGCCCCCGGCTACAACTGGAACCAGAGCGTCCTTTTCCAGAGCAGCTCCAAGCCGGGCCGCGGACGGCGGAAGAAGGTGGACCTGTTCGAGGCCTCACATCTGGGCTTCCCGTCATCCGCCTCGGCCACCGCCTCAGGCTACCCGTCCAAACGGAGCACCGGGCCCCGGCAGCCGCGGGGTGGACGGGGTGGTGGGGCCTGCTCAGCTAAGAAGGAGCGGGGCGGGGCGGCCGCCAAAGCCAAGTTCATCCCCAAGCCACAGCCCGTCAACCCCCTGTTCCAGGACAGCCCGGACCTCGGCCTGGACTACTACAGTGGGGACAGCAGCATGTCACCACTGCCCTCCCAGTCGAGGGCCTTCAGCGTGGGTGAGCGAGACCCTTGTGACTTCATGGGACCCTACTCCATGAACCCGTCCACTCCTTCTGACGGCACCTTCGGCCAAGGCTTCCACTGCGACTCGCCCAGCCTGGGTGCTCCTGATCTAGATGGCAAGCATTTCCCGCCTCTGGCCCACCCACCCACAGTGTTTGATGCTGGTCTGCAGAAGGCCTACTCACCCACCTGCTCACCCACGCTGGGTTTCAAGGAGGAGCTGCGGCCGCCCCCCACAAAGCTGGCTGCCTGTGAGCCCCTCAAGCACGGGCTCCAGGGGGCCAGCCTGGGCCATGCGGCTGCAGCCCAGGCCCACCTCAGCTGCCGGGACCTGCCGCTGGGCCAGCCCCACTACGACTCCCCCAGCTGCAAGGGCACAGCTTACTGGTACCCGCCGGGCTCGGCTGCCCGCAGCCCACCCTATGAAGGGAAGGTGGGTACGGGGCTGCTGGCTGACTTCCTGGGCAGGACGGAGGCCGCGTGCCTCAGTGCCCCACACCTGGCCAGCCCACCGGCCACACCCAAGGCCGACAAGGAGCCACTGGAGATGGCCCGGCCGCCCGGCCCACCCCGTGGCCCTGCCGCCGCCGCCGCTGGCTACGGCTGCCCGCTCCTTAGTGACTTGACCCTGTCCCCTGTGCCGAGGGACTCGCTGCTGCCCCTGCAGGATACCGCCTACAGGTATCCAGGCTTTCTGCCGCAGGCGCATCCCGGCCTGGGTGGGGGCCCCAAGAGCGGCTTCCTGGGGCCCATGGCGGAACCTCACCCTGAGGACACATTCACCGTCACCTCCCTGTAGTGCCAACTGAAGTGCCGACTGGACCTCGAGGTTTTGTTCCTGGGTGAGTCCGGGGCTATGGGTGGAGCGGGCGGAGGCCTGGGCAGGCGACGGCGGGGCTGGGGTGGGGGATGAGGACATCAGAGTTTGGGCAAGGGGAAGGCGTACAGTGATGAGCGGGAAGGATTTAAGGACAACATCGGGGACCCCGGATAAGAGGAAGGTGGGATTCAGGAAGGCGTCCGGGATTAGATGTTGGGGACAGTCTTCAGGAAGAAGACCTGAAGATGCACTCTGGTGGGGGCCAGGCTGAGGGTGTGGTTACGGTGTCTTGGTCACACTCTGCCAGGGCTTTACAAAATGGCCTGAAGTATCTTTCCTGGTCTCCTGGCGCCCACCCAAAGATTATTTTTCACTGTCTTTGACCTGAGGTGTGGGCTCAGAGTGGTCAGAGGCAGGTGGGATAGGGATCCAGAAGTGAACAAGGGAGGCTGGGATCCTGCTGTGCCTCACAACCCTCGCCCAGCGGGTCTGTCCCCAGGCAGGATACTTCCTACCTAGAAAAAGCCAGTCCCTTTCCTGCAGCCAAATGCTTTTCCAAGAGTTTGGTTAAGTTTTGCTAGATGTTTAGATACTGTGTTTATCAGGCGTGTGTCCTCATGAGGTGGAATCAAAGTTTTGGTATTCTCAAGATTTTGTTTAAGGAAAATAAAAGAGGGAAAAATGCCCCCAAAATGGGTAAAAAGGGACAAGGTCGGAAGAATCATTTTCTCGAAGCCCAAGGCGCTCCAGAAAATACAGCCCCAACTGGCCCATCACATCCCATTCTTGGGACAACAGAGGTGTCACAAAGTTGCCTCAGATGTGGTGGGGAAGTGGCCTCGGGGCCTGTCTGAGCCCCTCACCCTCCACCCCTCCTGCCACGGCAGCCTCCTGGGAGTGCCTCTTCCTGGAGAAGGAATAGCAGGGCTCCTGGAAAGTCCCATCCCTGCCCTGGGGAGGTCATTCAAGGCCAGGGTGACTCAGGGTCCTGCAGTCGTGTCAGTGGAAACTTATTATCCCCTTTCTGCCTGACCCCAGGTCCCTTGGTGCCTGAAGGTGGCAAAGGGCAGCACGTGGCAATCAGAAGGCCTGGGAAGGACCGTTCCCCAATTGGCCACCAACATGCTCCATGTCCTTGACCATGCTTTTACTCCCTCCAGCCCTGGGCCTCTGTTTCCCCATCTGTTCAAGAAATTCAACTTTGATAATCTCGTAGGTTTTGCAATTCTGTGTAGCATAGACAGTGGACCAAACTTTTTTTTTTTTTTTTTTTTGGCAGCCTATTTTCCTCCTAATGAAGCCAGGCCAAGATTAAAATGGCCTCCCATTCCCCGTGCGTCTCACTGCAAGCAGCAGAGCTGCAGATCTGAAGCAGGCCAGGGAGAAGCTGCTTAGGGTTTAAAATGTCAAACTCTTGATCCTTCTCACTGGAGGGGAGATGTCTCCTGGATAATCCAGAAATGTGAAATAATCCAAAAACCGTTCCTCCTGGGCTCTGGATGGGAAAATAAAACGAGTGTGGGGGCTGGGTGTTTGAGCAGGTCACAGCTCAGTGAGATACATAATGGAACCATCCAGTGAGGCCTGAACACAGAAGGAACTGGGATGCCATCCAGCCCCACATTCTGGCCACACTCTCCACTCCGGGCTGGGAGTTGACAGCGCTGTCCTCAGACTGATGCATTCAGTTGTTCTGGAGACATCTGTCCGGCACCCACCGTGAAGCAGGCATGGGGGGGGCACCCCAGTGAACACCACAGATGAGGTCCTGGTCCTCAGGGGGCTTCCAGTTTAGAGAGAGAGACAGTACGTAGACTGACACGAAGGAATTTGGTGAAGATTACGATAGGAAGGACCGCGAGAGAGGAAATAGCTAGGAGGTTGTGGGAACCTGCAGCGGGCTGACTGGATCCTGAAGCTGATGCCTGAAGGATGAAGGGGCATCAGCTAGACAGGGAGTGGGAAGGACATTCTAGGCAGAGGGAACAGCAGTGGGTGAAGCCCTGGGGCGGGAAGGAGCTCAAACTTGAGGAACCGATAAGAGGACAGTAATTCCTCACTGAATGAGTGGGCAAGGCAGGCAGGGCACCGGAAGGAGTTTGAACCATATTCCAAGATCAGTGGGGAGCCATTGAAGAGTTACCAGCTAGAAGGTCCCCCCCACACACACACACACCACAGGGCAAGTGCTGAAGGAGGGCGACCTCGGTCATCTCAGGCAGTGAGCGTTTTGACGTGGGCCGCTGGAGAAACTGGTTCGGCTCCACCCCACACCTTGAGCCTCTCGCTGCCTGTCCGGGTGCCAGGCATGGAGGAGACAAAGCAGACGTGGTCCTGTCCTCAGAGTTCAGCATCCACCCCAGGAGGCTAAGGCAGGTACACGAAGAACCTGAGAACAGCTGGTGGCAAGTGGCAGGTGCCCAGAGGCGGGGAGAAACAAAGCTTGTGTACCAGGAAGGTGGGTGTTAGGGTCAGAGGTCATCTCTCAGAACTTTTGGTGAGAAAAGGGACACACGTCTTTGCCCTTCATGCAACACTGCCGCACTGAGCCTTCACAGCAGGCTGGGAGGTGGTAATGCCCGCTCCCCCCCCACCCCATCGGAGAGTGGAGCAAGCAGGTGCAGCTAGGAACCTTGCCAGGGGATCCACAATTAGTCACCAGTGGAGTCGGGATTCAAACCCAATACTGCACCCCCCCCCCCAGAACCTGGGTACCCTGCCATACCATTCCAATACCCCACACCGCTGACTCCCCATCTGCAAAATGACAGATTGGTTGGACACTCCCTACAAATGTTTCTGGGTCTGACATTTTAAACGGATTTTGAAGTTCTTTCGAAGAAGCTGCATTTGAGCTCGACTTTGAAGAATAGGCAAGATTTGGATGGACAGAGGCTTGAGGGGAAAGGTGTTCTAGGCAGAGGGAACTGTGGGCAAGGGGAGGGTCACACCCCACTGTGAATTAGAAGAGGAAAGCTCAGGGGAGCTAGAGTGGGGAATGTGGGACGCCCTTGGTCTGAGAGCTGAGCTGGTGGGACAGAGGGAAGGGGTAGAGGGTGGGGAGCGCTCGGGCCGGGGGCAAACCTCTCCAGTCCCTTAGGTGGAAAACGGAGCCAGGGAGACTGACTCCACATTGGGCCCCTCATGGCCAAAGATCCAGCCCTGCTAGACCCTGTGCAATCAGGAAGGGCCCTCCAAGGCACTCAGGAATCTTGAGTCCCCCTCTCCTCCCTATTCCCCCTCAGGCGTGGACCTGAGGCCAAGAGAAATGTCACAGGTCCTCCAAGGTTACACCAGCCTGGGGCCTGACGGGAGCAGGAAGCAGTTTCCAAGGCCACCGGCCAACCAGGGTCAGCAGGCATGCCCAGACCTGGGCCAGGCCCCAGCTGCTCTGGGCTTTGTCTCTCTGTGTCTTGAAACCTCAAGAGGTCACTTGATCTTGCCTCTGGCTCTGAGCAAGAAGCCCTCACATCAGGGGTCAGCCCTCCCTGCCCTGTCTCTTGTGGGCCTCTCTTCGCACTCTCTGAGGCCGTCCTCCCTCCCATCCCATGTCTTGCCTCTCCCACGGCCATTTTCAGGCTAGGCCTTCTTGTTCTGAGCCCTCATTTCCTGGAAATACAATCTCTCTGTGAACATGCCCCCTCCTGCTCCTCCTCTCCCATCTCCCCACATCCCTGTGGACCCAGAAGAGCCCAAGGGAGTGAGGCTCTGAAACTGGAGGGTGGTGGCAAGGAGCACGCCTGTAGGCACAGACAGCCTCTGTGCGGAGCCTGATTCCATCCCTTACCACTTACGTGACCCGGTGAGTCACATCACCTTGCTGTGTCTCTTGTGAGAATTAATGAGATTACCCATGAAGCCCTTAGCCCAATTCCTGGTGCACAGTAAGCACGTAGTCAGTGGTTGGTACATGGGTGGACAAATGCCTCCCACCAGCTGAATTCTGTCACCCAGTCTGTGTGACTCACACACATCCCTGACCCTTTCCTCCTCGCTCAGGACTCTGTAGGTAGCCAGCCTCCCTTCACCTGCTGCCCCTGTTGTCTCCTAGGAAGGATTTTGTGTCTAGTGTGGTTTTGGGTCCTTTGGTGGGAAGATATGAAACGGGTGCCTGGGTGGCTCAGTCGTTAAGCGTCTGCCTTCGGCTCAGGTCATGATCCCAGCGTCCTGGGATCAAGCCCTGCATCGGGCTCCCTGCTCGGCGGGAGGCCTGCTTCTTCCTCTCCCACTCCCTCTGCTTGTGTTCCCTCTCTCACTGTGTCTCTCTGTCAAATAAATAAATAAATCTTAAAAAAAAAAAAAAAAGGGAGATATGAAACACCACCTAGGTTTTGGCCCTGGCTGATTCCTCCCTGGGGGGCCCAGAGGCAAGGGAAGTCACCAGCGCCCCCCCATGGGACCTGAAGCCTGATGGGCAACAGGACCCAGACTTCTAAATGACCGACCCAGGTCAACTAGAAGCCCTTCCCGTGCAGGTCCTCGCACCAGTCCCCTCTCTCGGTGCCTCATGACTTTGTAAATACATCATGGTTTTTTCTGGAGGTAGATTTGCTATCTTTGTTGTCATCACTTTTGCTGCCATAACGCCCTCTGTGCTGGGGGGGGGGGAAGTAGGTTAATTCTGTGTTCACCGCACATGAACCAGCCACCTGCCCAGGGCCAGGCACTGAACGAGACCAGCAGTGTCCTGCCCTCATGGAGTTTACAGCCTATAAACAGGTGTCCTTTGAAAGTCTCCAAGTGGGCATCATTCTCCAGGGCAGGGACTGAACTAGGTCCCCTGGAAGTACTGGGGACCGCCCTCCTGAAGCACGAGCAGGGCAGGCAGCAAGAGCTTCCTGGAGCCAGAAAATGGGTCTTGGGGGGGCGCCTGGGTGGCTCAGTCAGTTAAGCATCCGACTCTTGATCTCAGGGTCATGAGTTCAAGCCCCGCGCTGGGCATAGAGCCAAGATTAAAAAAAAGAAGAAGAAAAGAAAAGAAAATGGGTCTTGAACAAATTTAAGGCATCAGAAGCGGTAACCCTGGGTCATTCAACTGGTGGCTGCCATGTCTCTGCCCTGACACCTGCCCCCAACCCCAGTCCGTTCCCCTCATTATGGCCACCAAAGTGCTTGTTCTTCAGCATTTCCGGATGCGTGGTGTCTGGAGCCCCCCAAATATTTATTGGATGAATTGATTCCAACCCATTCGCTCCTATGCCTCCATTGCTTACCATCTGTCGATTGCATCCCCTGCTCCCTGCCTCTCCAGTCTCCTTGCCTACAAAATAACAGCCCAGCCACTAGCCTGGTATTCCAGGTATTCAGGTCTTCCTTTTCTGCCCTGACCTCCTCACACACCCTCCCTTTCCAGCCCTAGAATGTGGAATTAGGAGGGAGCTTTCTTTCCCCAGTGTGCCCTGTGCCTTTCCCCGAGCTATCCCTGGCCTGGGCTGCCCTTTGCTGCCCACCATCCATCTCCCACCTGTCAGTTCCTATCTTTCATTCAGGCGTCACCTCCAAGAAGCGTTCCAGGATCCTTCCCAGGCCCACTTAATCTCTAGCCTTTTATGCATCCATGCAACCCTTCCTGGGAATGTCCTCACTACATCATCGGCTCCTTTAGGCTGGTTGCTCATCTCTGTGCATGTTCCCCATCTTCCTCGGTGTCACATCATGCCTGGGACATTGTTTTTTGCCTTGAAGACAAGCATGTAGACTAGAGAGAATTGAGAGAGGAAGGGCAAGCACTGGGAGTAGGTAGGAGACCATTTCTGTCACCGTCGCTGTCCTCAGATAGGCTCCTAAAATGGGGCAGGGGGTGGGGTGTATAAATAAACAAATTTAGACTCTGCAGGCTACCTAGGTTTTTGGAGTTCTCCAAGTACAACCTTGGAGAGCTCCAAAGGTTAAAGCGCAGTTTACAGACAGGGAAGGGGACTCCCCCAAAGACACACAGCCACCCTGGCAGGAGTGGAATGATAGAGCCGGGAAGGGTCCCTGGTGATCAGTCACATGCCCAACACATAGCCATCACTGGGGCCTGTCTTTACAGAGGCATCTCTGATCAGGAAGGCAGAGAGTGTGGGTGTTGGCCGTAGAGTCTCCTAGGACTGGTAAGCAGTATGCAGCTCTGCAAGGTGGGAGACCGTGGATATGAACCCTGTTGTGTCCCACTAGTGTCCCTCTCTATGCCCAGCAGTGGAGGAGGTGGGGAAAGATCCTTAAGGAGGGAATGGCTGGTGAGCTAGAGTTTCAGGAGTGCCTCTGGTCACGGGTGGACACAGGTTCTGAAAACATTGTCTGGAATGGGGAGGAGAGCCACACCCACACCCTACAGCCAGTCCATCCTACCAGAGGGTGTCCCCCATGTGTCAAGTGTGGTCGGAGACCCAGGGAAGCAGTATTCTCTCCACATTTGAGGGACCTACAGGCCTGACTTTGCCTGAAAATGTCAAGAGGAGGTGGATCAGCCTTTGGGCAGCTGTGGTCTGCCTCTGACCCCACTGGGGCCTGAATATCTCTCCCATTACCTGTTCAACCCCCTACTTTACATAGAGACTAGCCCAGAGAGGGAAAGGACTTGCTCTAGGTGACACAGCAGATCCGTCTCAAACCCTCACGCATCCTCTCTGCCTTCTGCTCCACTGCCTTATTTGACGTTGAGACGCCCTTCTGGAGGGCAGAGACCAGAGGGTGGAGGCGAGACTGTAGCTCATGGCCTGGCAGTTGGTGGGTGTGAATCCATGTCTGCTGGTCGCTTAAATGAATGCACGAACATGTGCTCCTTTTGGGGGGAGAGCAGCTCTCTGAGGACAGCCTGATTTCTACATGACCCGCAGCACTGCGAGCGCCCGCTCAGCTACCCCTTGATGCTCCTTGAAGGGAGGATGCCCGTAGCCCCTCCTCTGACAGGCAGAGACCACTTGGCGCCTGGGCACCTCGGCCGGGCACCTCGGCCAGCGAAACCGCTGGAGCGCCAGGCCGCCGCGGAATGTGGCTCTGCGGTTGTCGATCATAGAGGCACTGAAAGGCTAAGTCTCAGGAACAATGGCTGGTGTCCTGGGCGCCGAGGGGGCGCATGTTGGCTTTGGGGATAGGGAGGTACCACTCACAGGCCTCTGCCCTGGAGGAGCGGGGAAGGGAAGGAGAAGTGGCCCGGTAGCTATGGTAACGGGGTGGTCTAAGGAGGCGTCCTGGAGGGGTGCAAGCCCTGAGCGGGACCTTGCCGCCCTGCTCACCACTCTGGCATTCGGTCAGCCCGCCGTCCCGGCCCCGGCGTGTGCTGGGCGCCGCGCTCAGCAGTGGCCCGAAGAGCCAGGGTTCCTCCTGCCAAGGCCGGGTTAGGTGCCCCCTCGGTGTGCTCCCTGAGCCCCCCCCCCAGGGCATCCCTTGGCATAGCCCCCATCTCCCTGCATTGGAATTGCCTGCTCTGGGGTCTGCTTTGCTTCCCTCCGGGCTCCGTGAGCCCCTCAAGGGCAGGGGCCAGATCTGTCTCCGCCGCTTTGTCCCCAGTGCCCAGCGCGGGGCCGCCTGGCACCGCAGCCTGAGTTCTGTTTTGTGGAGTTGAACCCAGTGCGGTCAGGGTCGCTCGGGGCTACGGGCATCCTCCCTTCTCCCGGCTCAGGAACCTCTGGTGTTGATTCTGTCCCCAGCCACCCCCCCCACCATCCCCGCCACCCCCCCACCATCCCCACCATCCCCACCACCCCCCCACCATCCCCGCCATCCCCCCTCACCATCCCCGCCATCCCCCAGATTCTGGCCCAGTCCCGAGAGGTGGGGAGGGCCGAGGGAGGAGGAAGGTGAGACAGGGAGGGCTGAGCAGAGGGAGAGAAAGCCTCCCTGCTGCCTGGCTGCCGGCACCGCGGGAATGGTTCTGGCAGGAGCTGCCTGCTGGGCTGAGATCACCATGGAGACCTGGCTTGGAGAGGGTCACTGGCAGTGGCGAAGGGCCGGAGGGGGCGGGGGGTGACAGGGATTTGTGCAGAGGCTCCCAGCCTGCCCTGGGGCCCTTGTGGGGGGGGGGGGAGCGAGCCGGGAAGGCTGGGGCTCGGTACAGTCCACTTGCCGAGTGGTTTGGGGCAGCCGGGGCTGAGTCACCCCCTCCCTCGTCACGCCAGCACCCTATACGTGTCACCCCGACAGAGGTTCCTTAGCGCAGCAGCTGTTGCCACCTGCAGTAGACGCCTCCCGCCCCCCAGCTACACTAGTCCTGTGCCCTACTGGGTACCCGGCCTCCGGCTCCAGCTGTTCCTGTTCATCACCCTAACTGGGGGACTGACACCCATCCCAGCAGCATCCCTGGGCCCAAGAGCTGCTGCTTTCCTACCATTCCCCTGGTTCTAATTCAGCTACACCCTAACAGGCGCACCTCTTCCCCCTCCGGCTAATACTCCATCCTCCATCACCCCCAGGAAACCTGACAGCTTAACACAGGTTCAGCCCCCACCCTTCCCCTCCCTCCTGCCTCTGCTGGCCGCCTGGGCCCATAGACGGGGATGGGCGCTGCCCCTACCTCTCAGGAGCCCACCTGGTTCCCCTGGCCCCGGGGGGGCGGGAGGGGAGGGGGGGGTAGTCCTGGCAAGTCCAGCCTCAGGACAAAAGTCTTCCCCAGGGCTGACTGCCCAGCAGACAGCAGCCGAGGCTGAGCAGAATTTAAATGTGGCCCTGTTGGGAAGGGAAGCCAAGAAAGGACAAGAGAGGAAAGGCTTTCTGTGGCCGCTTGCTTCCTGCAGGGGTCGGGGAGGGGGGGTGTTCTCCTAAGGGGTCTTAGAAGGCAGTTGTAGCACCCCCCACACCTTAATTCGGGTGGGCTGGTCACTCACCAAGTGCAGGGACAGGAGTTTCAGGGCTCTTCAAGGAGGCCAGGACTCTGAAAGCGCCAGGTTCATGACTGTGGGTCTTGAGCATAACCAAGCCCATCCCTGTCCCTCTGGGCATCTTCCCGCCATCCTCAGCCAAGCCTTGGGTTCTGGGTGGGGAGGCCTGGAGAAGGGGTACTTCAGACCTCCATTGTCTGGCGATTGTAGGGACTGGGAACATGGAAGTTTCTGAGCCTCAGCAGCCAAACACAGATGGTACTGTGTTGGGCCATTTCTTTATTCCTTTATTCAGACAGACGTCCCAGTCACCTTGCCTCTGGAAGGAACCGAATGGCATCGGAGGGGACTGGGAAAGGGTTGGAATTAGAAGAAATGAAAGTGCTCGGGTGTGCAGTTCATGCCTGTGCTGTGGTCAAGCCCTGTGCTCCCCACTGCGTCATTCCTCACAATAGCCTCGCTTGGAGGAATGACTAAACTCATTGTTGTATGAGGAAACTGAGGCTTGGGGCACCTACCTGGCCCAGGCCCCAGGAAAATAATAATGATGTATAATCAGCATCATTTCTTACATTTCCTATACCAGGCTTAAGCCACCTTAAGCCACTGAATCCTCCCAACAAACCTACGGGATAGTTTGGTTATCCCCCTTTTACAGATGAGGAAACTGAGGCTCATGGAGATTCACGGACTTGCCCAGCGTCCTGGAGCTGTCCAGGGGTGGTGCTGGCATTTGAACTCAGCTGTGTCTGACTCAAGAGCCCAAGTCCTTAACAAATTGCACTGCCTGGAACCCCAACTCCTCTCCCAGAGCCTCCTTTACCTCTCATTGAGGCAGGCCGTGGATACAAGCCTATTTTACAGATGGGGAAACTGAGTTCAGAGAAGGCGAGAAACAGTCCATTGTCTCATGAGGGGCTATTTGGAGTGTTCTGGGAGAAGGAACAATGTGGGTAGCTTCTCCCAGAATCCTGGTAGGAACTGGGTGGGGGTCCCACTCTTAGCCTCTCTGTTCTTAGAGCTCAATGTCTGTGCCTACTGCTAACTTCCGCCTCCTCTTTTGTGTTTCTCTGCAGCTTTCAGAAAACCAACGCCAAGACCCCTCCCAGCGTCCACATTGTCCTCTGGCAGGAGCGCCTGCCCCTTTGCCTCCCACCCCACCCCACCTGCCTCCCTTGCACTACCATCTCCCCCCCACCCCTCCCCGCCCATCTCCTCCACGCAGAAGCCGAAGGTGAGCCCTTTCTGCACAAAACCAGCAATTGTAAATACTTTTTAAAAATGTACAAAACTTAAAAACAAAACACAGTTTTAGAAAAAGACAAAAAAAAAAGAGAGAGAGAGAGCGCGAGCGTGTGCAAGAGGTTGCGAGCGGGGCCCCGAGGTGTCCAGAGCCCCTGCAAGTATGCACTGAGAAATTTATCTACAGGTCGTTTGACAAAAATGAACAATATCCTATTTATTGTATATACTGTTTTATTATAAATCGTGGATTGTATATTGCATTCTGTAAACCTGCTGTGGTCCCGTGGTGTGCAAATTCGCATGGTGGGGGGGAGGGGGCAGAACCTCTTGCGGGAGCTTTTTTTTTTTTTTTTTCTCCTTTTTTTCTTATTTTTCACTCTTTTGGGTTTTCTCTTCTGTTGTTGTTGTTGTTTTCTGTTTTGGCAGGACACACCCAAAGATCCAAGTTTGTATTAAAAAGAAATGAAAAAAAGCAAAAAAAAAAAAAACCCACCTCGTGTCTTGTGAAAGGGGGTGAGTGAGGGTGGATGGAATGGAAGAGGCATGGCTGGGTTTTGTTACCAGACACTGGCTCCCCTGAGTGGAAATACCTTCATGTGTTCTCACCTTCTGAGGTCTCCCTTCTGCCTGAGATCTGAGTCAGCTTTGCATCTGGGAACCGCGCCCCCCTCCCAGATTACAGCCCAGGCCCTGGGTCTCCCCTGCCGTGATCCCCAGCCTGCTCCCTAGGGCTTTGTGGCCCCTGTCCATGCATTATGTCCCAGATCCAGGGATTCTGCCTCCTAGATCCTTGGCCTTGGTCCTGGGTCTCCCCTGATTCTGAAACCCCTATTGTGTCCCACACCCCAGGACCCCACAAGTACGGGGATGCTGGCCTCTTGAACCCCTTTTCTCCCCTCAAGTCCTAGATTTCTTTTCCTGGAGGGATCCCCATTATAAATCAGGTCTCGAGTCTCCTTGCTTCCAGACCCTCTCATTCCATCCTGGATCCCAGGTCTCTTGACTCCAGCCCCTTCCTTTACACTGTGGCACCCCAGCCTTTGGGCCCTGCAGTTCTCCTCCGGTTCAGGGACACCTGTCTTTGAGACCCTCATGCCGTCTTGGCCCAAGAACCCTTGTGGAACACCCCCTTTCCCACAAGGACTGGAGTATCTCCCATTCACCCCAGGTCCTGGATCTCCTTAGTCTCCAGGCCCCCCATTTTGCCCCAGCACACCTGACGCACCTGCATCTATCTGCCTGTGCGAATTCCAGAGTTGATAGGCCAGTAACCCTGATATTTCTGCCTTCCCCCTTCCCCTGAACCCCAAATGCTGGGGCTGTTTTCTCCCAGCATTTGTAAACTTTTATACAAAGTTTGAGAAAACTCAATCCCGTGCCTATATCTGGTGGGCCTGGAAAGGCTAAATTGTTCCCCACTCCCTGACCTTGGGAGCTTTTGGCTGCCCTTGATCAAATAATGCCCACTTGGGGCAGCCTGGTCTTTAACACGCGGCTTTTCCCATAGATCTGCTTCATGTTAAACCTCTGCTGAATGTGGCTCTGTGTCTCCCCACTGAAGATCAGGGGGACCCCGAGGGACAGCTCCACGGGGCCCACACAGCCTTAGGAGAGTCTGAGGAACCCTCTGAGGGGGAGACACAGACCGCCAGCTTCTGGGGACCCCTATCTGAAAGAGGACATCAGAGGATTCAAGTAAAACAGTCCCCCAAAACTGAAGCCTCTGTGCTGGATGTGAGGCTTATCCACCCACCAAGCCCCCTCTCTGCATCCCCAACAACTCAGATGAAGTCACTGCCACCTCACTGCCTGGTGAGGCAAAGGCGACCACACGAAGCTCAAGGCTACAATCCAGTATGGTGCTGCACGTGGGGGCAGGGAGCAGGAAGACCCAGTAAGGGTCGGGAAGGGGGTCTTTGTTCCAGGAGGAGTAAACAGCGTGTGCAAAGGCCTGGGGGTGGGGGTGGGGGGCAGGCGGCCACCATACGTAGTTAGACACTTGGTGCGGAGCGGGGAGGACTGGGAGAGGGCCCGGCGGAGGCTGGTTGAAGTAGGTGGCATGGACGGAACCAGTGCAGGAGGCAAGAGAAGCTTGTTTTCAGCCCCATGAATCGCCTGCAGGGAGAAAATAAGTGTGCTCAGCGCTGCTGAGGAAGCAGTAGAAGCTTGGGGACGCTGTCCAGGTGGGGGCAGGCTGCAGGATTGGGGGCTGCTGAGGGTGCCCAGAGGAGTTTCAGTGAGGAAAGGGGACAGGAGGGGGAATTCAGTGGAAGGGACTGGAGCTTTACTTGAAATGGGGACGGAGGGCAGTGAAAGCTTGTGTGCCCAGGAATTGGTGGGGGTTGGGAGGGACGACCCACGAAGGAAATGGGAGTTTAGGGAGGTGATTATAGCCCAGCGAGGGGGCTCATTAACTTGAAGAGGGTTTTGGAGGAGGGATGGGATTCACTGCAGAGAGTGGAGCTACAGTTTCTGGGCTGGGAGAGAGAGTTGGAGAGGGAGCTCTTGGAAAGTGAGTCTTGGGGGGGAGGGGTGGGCAATAAGAAAATAGGAGCTCAGGGAAGGGAGGGAGCTCAGTCTATGGCTTAGTAAGGGGTAAGAGGGCAGAGGTGTATTTTGGAGAGCAGACTTGGGAGATCTGCCAGGACCAAGGGCCCAACCTTTGGGATGGAAGGCTCTCTGACCCTGTCCAGGTGGGGGGGATGGGGGGGTGGGTCCACCCCATTTTGATCTGTTCTTTTCAGAAATTTCAGCCTTACCACAGCCACAGCCCTGCACCTGATTGCAAAAAGCATCAAGGCAATGTGGCTCCCAGATGTCTGGGTTTCACCACCGTTATTAAATACTTCCCTAAAGTTTTTATTCCTCAAAACAATCCTCGAGGTAGAGAAGATACTCACCTCATTTACAGATGAGAAGACAGGTTCAGAGACCTGGAGTACGTGACTTGTCCAAGACCACATGGGAAGTGGGAAGAAGTAGTCTGACTCTGAGCGCTCAGTCTTTCATAATAATTTAAAGAAAAAAATCCTGCTTAAAAAATTCACTCAAAAAAAAAATTCACTCAAAGGTTAAATAAAAAACAAGAATAGGAAATAGTTTCTTTAATTATGTGCCAGGTACTGTTCCAAACTATATAAAATTCATGCCATCTCCACAACAATTCTATGATAAGGCTTTATTGTAATGATTATTCTCCCGTTTCACAGACCGGAAACTCAACTCGCAGGGAGGTAATTTACAAAGACCATTCATTGTGACACCAGAGTTCAAACCCGAATAATCTGGTTTGGGAGTCTGCTCTGCTGTCCTGTTAAAAGTGAAAACCCACTTTACCCACATCCCTGGTAATAACCCACATGTCCACATTTTCAGGTCCATGCTTTGAGATTAGGGGTTCTCAGCCCAGAAGTTCGGATTTCACTGGGCTGGGCGGGGTCTGGGCAATGAGATTTTTTAAAAGCTTACCCTGGTGGTTCTAATGTGCAAAGCGGAGAACCACGAATCCAGCTGTTGTGCCCAGTGTTTACATACAAGCAGCCACCTGTGTGCACACACGTCTATTTAATGTGTTGTCCCAGGTGTTCAGGTGTTGGTAAGATGCTTTCTTGTGTATGTGCTGTGGTATCCATTAGTGTTTTTCACTGCGTGGCTGTAAATGACCATGGGTTTCCTGAGTGACTGTTAGAGGCACTGTAAACACATTCATTCAACAAATATTTCTTAAGCACCTACAGGATTCCAGGCAATGGCCCAGGCACTTGGGGATGCAACAGTGAACAAAACAGATGGGGTCCCTGCCTTTGAGTGTATCCTCTTTGGGAATTGACGGATTTGGTCTTTTGTCTTTGCCTACGTGTGGCAGGGGGATAGCTGCCCTTGGAGGTTGCTGAAGGGTGAATGTCTGGCTGGGAGATCCTAGGAGGGTGAGACTTGCTGTTTGCTGTGTGCATGGGGGGCCCTCGGGCCCTATGTGCAGATGTGTTAGAGAAGGAGACCTAGGGCATGTTTCTGGGTTTGAATGAGTGTGGCTGACAGTGTGGCGTGTGTGTAAAGATGTGTGTGATCTGGACCTGTGAAAATGTAGACGACAGGATGAAGAGGGCGTGACGGGGGAGGGCTGTGTGCAAGGCAAGCACCAGCCCAGGACAGCACACAGATGGTGGCGCACCCATACACACACACACACACACACGCACACACGAACACACACACAGCCAGCTGCTTCAAGGAGGAAACTGGTTTCCAGTCCCAGGGCACAGACTCCCAGGGCCAGGAGAACTCTGCTCTGGGGAAGTGGAGGAGGCACAGCTGGGGCTGGAAACTCGAGAGTGGGAGGAAGGGAGGGAGAGCGAAGGAGGGAGGCTGGGGAGCCACATCCTTGATCTCTGGTCTGTTTCAGCAGTTCCGGACTTGGTGCTCTCGGTCTGTGTGACTCTGGGTCTCCCTCTCTCTGATGTCCGGATATTGGCATCACTCTTTCTCTCTTCTGGGTCTTGGGCTCTGAGGCTGATCACATGACTCTGGGTCACCCCCTCTCCAGCCTACGTGGCTCTGTGTCCCCGCTCCAAGTCTGTCTCTGCCTCCATGTCTGACTCTGTCTCCGTGTCCTTCCTTGCCCTTGCCAGGTGGGGGGGAAGGGGCCCAGTGCTCAGGGAGCAGGTGTCAGCTCAGGCAGCAGGCAGTGAAGCCAAGGAGGGCACAGAGCCAGCAGCCCCTGGACACACAGCCACGCTCCAGGACACTCTCGGGGCGCTCACAGATACGCACAATGACATACGTGGAGAGATGGGTTCTCGGGGACATACACACAGGTGCACAATTCAACACACAGCGAAGCCCAGAAACACAAGGATGCCAGACAGAGGGTCACAGGCGGATACCAGGGGGTGATGCACACACAAACTGACGAATACTTACTCGGGCACACACCAAAAGAATCGCAGGCACAATCGGGGCATTTTTCCAGAGAAAAACTCAGAGCCATGGACACACAAACGACACAAACATACACACACTTTCAGGCATGGGCAGACCCAATCACTCACTGGAACACAGATGTACAAAGGCCCAGGTACACTCGGTTGCACCTCGGCTCACACCCAGAGCCGCATACATTCAGGAGAGGGAGGCACATGGCACAGACAGGCGGATACCCTCCAGGACAACCAGAGACCGGGACGCGACAGGCACACGGAGGGACACGCCCAGGCCCAGGCCCAGGCGGAACCTCCTCAGGTACACCCCCCCCCTCGGGGCTCCCTCGGGAGCACCTGGGGACACGCCCACAGGCGGGGGGGCCGGGAGCGAGGAGCAGCGCGGCCCCAGCGCACCTGGCGCCCACGGCTCGCCCCCAGGCGCCCCGAGTGTGCGTGCCCGTGCGTGCGCGCCGCCACCTGTGGGAGGAGAGGTGCGCGCTGCGCCCGGGGCTGCCCGGCCGGCGCGGCGCGGGGGGGGCGGTTGCCATGGTGCGCAGAGCGCGGCCGCATACTAATGGGGCGGCCACCGGCGCTGCCCCTCGCCGGCCCGGCTCCCTCCTCCCGCCCCTTCAGTTCCTCGGAAGTCACCCCGGCCCGCGGCCCCGGCCGGCGACCCCCCCACACCCACTCAAAGGGCCGGAGCCCCGGGTCCCGGGACCCTCGCGTCCTCGACTTCCCTGGAGAAGGCCCAGGCCGGTGCGAAGCGGTGCGAGGGCGGAGCGAGGGCCTGGGGCGCTGCAGGGGCTGCCCGGCCTGGGCGCGGGCACCGAACGGGCACGGCAGCTGGGAGCGCAGGTGCTGCCTTGGAATGGGGGTGGCTGTCCTGGGAGGGTGGGAAATAAAGGGGAAACTTAACCCTCTTGTTGCCAGAGAGCCCATCAATCTGCCGTCCCCGGGCTAGGCTGGCGGGGCGGGGGGGGGGGGGTGCACAAGGACACTTGACCAATCCTAGTACAATCCACACCCCTCTCTCCATCTGCATCGCTCCAGTGTTGGCTTGACCTGCAGGGGAGGGGGGCAGCAGTTCCCATCACTTCAGTTCTGCCTGTAGTCTGACCGGTGATGCGGTGGTGTGCGCTGAGGACTGAGGGGAGGGGGCCAGTGGCACTGGAATGGTTAACACCCCCCCATACCTCCATCCCAGTCCCAGAGTCCCCCTTTCATACAGCCTTGACCCCCCACCCCGCTTAGCCCCGCTGTTTTAATTGGCATGGAGGGGCACGGCGGTACCCTGGGGTGGTGGGGGGGGAGAGCCAGCAGAGGGTTTGCAGGTAGAGACAGTGGGAGGGGGGCCTAATGGGGGGGGAAGCCAGGCGGTTGCCTAGCAACCCCACAGCTGTCTGTTGACCTAGAAGAAGCTGCGCTGTCTTGACACAGCTGGTGTTTACATGTAACCGAGGCTCTGGCTTAGCGCTTGCTTGGAGGAAAGCTGAGGCAGGGCCCTCGTGGCAGCCTGGTCCCGGCCCCCGGCTGTGGTGGGCTCCGTGCCTGCCTGCCCTCTTTGCTTCGGCTCCCACCTCAAGTCCAACGGGGAGAGAGTGGGAGGGCAGATCTCAGAGCTGGAGGCTTTGGAGCTGGGGAAAGTTGATGGACACACACACACACACACAACCACACACACACACACTCAACCTGAGGCCTTTAACACAGAAATGGTGGGAGACTAAGAAAGGGATGGGGGAGGGGGGTGCCCAGATTTCAACCCACACAGAGAACACCAACATTCACAGGGACACATGAACATAGAGACCCACAAAATCAAACTGACTTAGGCACACACACACACACACAATGTAGGCACAGAGAGGCCCATTGACATGATGACATCCAGACAGACACACAAACACACAGTAACACAGTAATCAAGTGATTGAAACCGAGACACACATCTTGATC